CCAAAAAAAAAAAAAAAAAAAAAAGGGTGATAATCTCTACCTCCAGGGATTATCAGGAGGGAGAAGTGAGGGAATGTCGTAATACCATAAAAGGAACCAACATTCTAAATACTAGCTGCTGCCAGCATTATTGGCTCTTTTTCTTCTTTAGTTTTTAATCTTTCTCGTGGCGGGATCTGGCTTTGCTGCCCAGGCTCGAAGCCAGTGGCGCAATCATAGCTCACTGCAGCCTCGACCTCCTGGCCTCCAGTGATCCTCCTGCTTCAGCCTCCCGAGTAGTTGGGACTACAGGCGTGAGCCACCGAGATCAGCCGATCTCAGGTTTTCGGCTACAGAGAGAAGTCAATCTTTGATCACCAATTGCTTAAAATTTGAAGAACACTCCAGTGGCCAAGTCTGGAGGGTAAGAATTAAGCTGGTGTTCCTAGTCCTTCCCAGCTAGAAAGAATGGAATCCACAGGCAAATGGGTCCCAGGTGACCCCTAAACTGGGATCCGTTGCACCCTTGAGGGGGTGAAAATCACTCCACTTCCCAGACATGGAGAAAGCTAGCCTCGGCGAGGGAGGGAAGACCCATGGGCAGCTGACTCCTTCGGAGATGACACGAAGCCAGAGCTGGATGCGTTCTGCAGCTTCTTTTCTTTTCTTTTTTTGTCAGAGTCTCACGCCATTGCCCAGGCTGGAGTGCAGTGGCACGCTCACGGCCACCCCAGTGTCAACCTGCTGGGCTCCAGTGATCCATCTGCCTCAGCCCTCTGAGTAGCTGGAACCACAGATGTGTGCCACCACGCCCGGCTACTTTTTTGATTTATTATAGAGACGAGGTCTCCCCAAGGTGCCCAAGCTGGTCTTGAACCCATGGGCTCAGGCAATCCTCTTGCCGCTGCCTCCTACAGTGCTGGGATGACAGGCGTGAGCCACTGTGCCTGGCCAAGAAATGTCTTAACACAAGCAGGTAACCCAATTTAGAAGACACTGCAGAAGCCGGGCATGGTGGCTCACGCTTATAATCCCAGCTCTTTGGGAGGCCGAGGCAAGAGGATTGCCTGAGCCCATGGGTTCAAGACCAGCTCGGGCAACTTGCCGAGATCTCATCTCTATAATACATCAAAAAATAAGCCGGGCGTGGTGGCACACATCTGTGGTTCCGGCTAGTTGGAAACTGAGGCAGAAGGATCGCTGGAGCCCAGCAGGTCGAGGCTGCAGTGGCCGGGAGCAGCCACTGCCTTCCAGTCTGGGTGACGGAGTGAGACTCAAAAAAAGTGAATGGATGCTGAGGATAAGACAGCCTGCAGCCCTGTCCTCATAAACCTCACAAACCTCACAGTCTACGCCAGCTGTGGCGGCTCAAGCCTGTAATCCCAGCACTTTGGGAGACTGAGGCAAGAGGATGGCCTGAGCCCATGGATTCAAGACCAGCCTGGGCAACTTGGCAAGACTTTCATCTCTACAATAAATAAAAAATTAGCCAGGCATGGTAGCACACACCTGTAGTTCCGGCTACTTGAAAGGCTGAGGCGGGAGGCTCGCTGGAGCCCAGCAGGTCGATGCTGGGGTGGCCATGAGCATGCCACTGCACTCCAGTCCAGGTGACGGAGTGAGACTCCGACTCAGAAAAGCAGCAAGTGTCTTCCTCCTGCTCTGGACCCGCTAGAAACTGGCTCTGTAAGCGGCTGCCAGCAGTGCGGGCCTGTCCCTCCCGGGATAGTTGTAGCCAAGCGCCGCTCACAAAGTATTTCAGTCGGGAGCTGCTGGACGCTTCTCCTGCACCAGGCGGGTTGTTGTTTGTCTGCATGTGTGTCCTCCAGAAAACTCTGAGCCTCGTCTCCTCCCACCCGCCAAAAAAATGATTACACTAAAGGGATTAAAACAGATCTCTATCAGATCGTGACATTCAATCTAGCCGTCCTAAAGAAACATTTGATCATACGAATATCACCACCTTTTCTCTTTTTTTTTTGTCAGAGACTCACTGTCACCCAGGCCGGAGTGCAGTGGCACAATCACGGCTCACTGCAGCTCCATCTCTTGGGCTCAATCTTCCTGCCTCAGCCTCCCGAGTAGGTGGGACTACGGGCGCCACCACACTCGGCTAATTCTTGTTTCTTTTTTAGAGACAAGGTCTCATCTCAGTACATTGCCCAGGCTGGTCTTGAACTCCTGGGCTCAAGCAGTCCTCTTGACTCAGCCTCCCAAAGGGCTGGGTTGACAGGCATGAGCCACTATGCCTGGCCTAGTTATTATTTATTTTTACATTTATTTATTGTTTATTATGTACCAGGTTGTTTTTTTTTCTTGAGTTGGAGTCTCACTCTGTTGCCCACGCCGGATCGCAGTGGCAAGCTCATGGCCACCCCAGCGTCGACCTGCTGGGCTCTGGCGATCCTTCCACCTCAGCCTTCCAAGCAGCTGGAACTACAGCATGCCCTACCATGCCCGACTAATTGTTTTTATTTATTGTAGAGGTCTTGCAAAGTTGCCCGGGCTGGCCTTGAACCCTTGAACCCATGGGCTCAGGCAATCAACTCGTCTCAGCCTCCCAAAGTGCTGGGATGACAGGCTGAGCCACCGAGCCCGGCTAGAATTTCTTATAAACTCATACATATGCCCACATAGAAGGCTATTACTTCCTGATCATTTAGACCACGGGCTGGCCAGTTACAGCTTGTGGGCCAAACTTGGCTGGCTGCCTGGTTTTGTAAATTTTTATCAGCACGCGACATGCCTGTTCATTTATGTATTATCTAAGACTGTGCTTGTGCTGTAAGGACAAGTTGAACAATTGCCAGACTGGCACACACAGCTGAAAATATGTGTTTCCTCTTGGGCACTTTACATAGAAAGTTGGCCAACTCTCAGGCACAGTGGCTCATGCCTGTCATCCCAGCACTTTGGGAGGCCAGGGCAAGAAGATTCAGTCCAGGAGTTCAAGACCAGCCTGGGCAACTTGGTGAGACCTCGTCTCTACAACAAATCAAAAAATGAGCCAGGGATAGTAGCACGTGCCTGTAGTTCTAGTTCCTTGGGAGGCTGGGGTGGAAAGATCGCCCGAGCTCAGCAGCTGGAAGCTGTGGTGGCCATAAGTATGTCACTGCACTCCAGCCTGGACGACATAGCAAGACCTTGTCTCTACAAAAAAATTTTAAAAGTAGCCAGGTGTGGTGGTGTCTGTAGTCCCAGCGCCTCAGGAGGCTGAGACGCAAGGATCGCCTGAACCCAGGAGGTGGAGGCGATGGTGAGCTGTCGTTTCACTACACTTCAGCCTAGGTGAGGGTGAGACCCTCACTCAAAAAATAAAAAGGAAACCCCAGATGTCCTGAGTGTGGTCGCCAGGGTCTTCCTGGGTACCTCAGCTGCTGGGAGGGGCACAGCCTGCCCCTCTTGGTGGCATTTCGCGCTCCTCAAAGCAGAGCCTTAAGCTCAGAAGGCCCCATCAGTGCTGGCCATGCCATGTGCAGGATGCTGTGATTCGGGTCGTTGCGGCTGCCCTGGGCACCTGTGTGGCCAGGCGGGTCACACATGTCCCATCCTGGTCCCTAGATGCAGAGCGGTCTTTCTGGCCCTCTGAGAACACAACTGCTCTCCTGGGACAACAGGGCCTGTCTTCACTGGACCAGTCTGATCTGAGAGCATCTCTAGCTCAGCCTCCTGCAGGGCAGCTGTCCCAGGCTCTCCCTGCTCCCTTCCGCCACTCCCAGGAGGGCCTCGGCTGGGTGTGCCTGGTCCCAGAGGCCCCTCCCCCCAGGACGGGCAGGAACCACAGGCGGTGGCACCGTCTCCATCCGGAATCGTTTAATGAGTCTCCTTCTTACACGCATAATTATAAAAGAATAAGAATCGGCAAAAATATCTTCTTTCCATCATATGTAGAGGTGGTTTGTTTTTTCTTTCTTTTTACTTTGTTCTGCCCGCCCCTGGCAGAACTCTCAGCGGGGGGGAGGGCGGGGAGGTGTGGCCCTGAGGTGGGATGGCTCCCGCTCCGACCTGATGGATCCTGGACCGGCAGGTGCCTGATGGCCGGGTGGGGGAGGGCGGGATGGCAGGGGGCGCCCGCCCGGGCCGCATGAGCCGCTCAGGCTTTGAAGCAGCAGCGTTGCCAGGCTGGGACGTGATCACCACCCTGGCCGCCCCGGCGTCGGCACCCCTTGTGTCCTTTAAATAACCGCGGAAAACCT